GGAAGGGAGAGGGATAGAGAGTTAGAAACATCAATGAGAGAGAAACACCGATCAGCTGCCTCCTGCACATCCCCATCTGGGGATGTGCCCGCAACCCAGGTACATGACCTTGACCGGAATCGAACCTAGGACCTTTCGGTCCGCAGGCCGACGCTCTATCCACTGAGCCAAACCGGTTTCAGCAGGGCTGACACTTCTTAACTATAAAGCTAGAATAACATCTCCATGGCAAATATAGACCTTACTTTCACAGTCTATAACATGGGGATAATATTTTTTAAGACAGACTCCTGGTTTCCCACTATTCTTTTTATGGCAATACTTTTAATTTTGATTTTCCTATTTTTCTCTTTTACAAATGAGATAATCTACTGTATCTATCCAATTTCTATTCTACCTCTATGTTGGGTGTGGGAAGGAATACACATTGTTATTTATTTTATAGGGCATTATGCCATAAGGAGTGACATGTGGACCTAATAATCAGGGATCCTGAATTGTCCCTGCTGGAGGCGATTGGAATGAAATTCCTTTTTTGCACTAAGGTTTTAGTTGGCACATTCCCCAGCTTCCCTTGCAGGCAGGAGAACCATATAATTAAATTCTAGCCAGTGGAATGTGAGTGAAAGTCATGTATGCTCTCTGCCTGGTCTTACCCTTAGAATAAGGTGAGTACTTCCAATTTTTGTTTTATTTTGTTTTTCAGAAGCTGATCTGAGCTGCATTTGCTTTCTTCTCTATTAGCCAGTGTTATTTCTATCCATCCTCCTTTTAAAATAGAAATTAGATGATTGGATAAAAAGAATGTAGTACATATCCACCATGGAATACTACTTAGCTAACCATAAGAAAAAATGAAACACTGCCATTTGCAACGACGTGGATAGGCCTTGATAATATCATGCTAAGCGAAATAAGTCAGACAGAAAAAGTCAAGAACCATATGATTTCACTCACATGTGGGATATAAAACTGAAAGCAACAAATAAACAAACAAGAAAAACAAACAAAAACTCATAGACACAGACAATAGGTATAGTGGTTACCAGAGGGAGGGAGAGTGGGGGTAGGGTGGTAAAGGGAGACAGAAAATGATTTGACTTTGGGTGGCAGGCACACAATACAACATACAGATCATGTACCATAGAAATGTACCTTGAAACCTATAATTTTATTAATCAATGTCACCCCAATGAATTTAAAAAGAAAGAAATCTAGCCTTTGAAGAAAAGCCCTATTTCCCAAGCTCCTGAAAGGATCTGCAAACATGTCAGTCCTACCCGTGAGTGCCTCTACCCTGTATTCACCTGTTGTAAGAGCTTGTGGCTCTCCAGAGTTGATAAGGAGAATCAAAGGTCTGAGCACTCCACAGTAGCTGCAGGTCAAATTCCATTCCTCCCAGGTGGTCTGGAGTCATTATGAAAGACTTCACATCTGGCAGGGTGTGGTGCTCCATCACAAATTGTCCTATTTAAAGGGAAAGCACATGCTTACTTGTGAGCTTTATTGTACTTACGGAGATGTCCTACACATCTTAGAACTGAATTAGTAGTCTTCAATCAAACAACTAAGGTAATATTCACCCTCTTGTCCTTAGAATACATTCTACACTGGTGGGGACAGCATAGCACCTTCCCTCAGTCCATCATCCTACTTGTGATGGCCATTATGATCATAGAGATTTATAACAATACTAGAGGCCCAGTGCACAAAAATGTGTGCACTCGGGGGGGTGTGGTGGGGAGTCCCTCAGACCTGCCTGTGCCTTCTCGCAGTCTGGACCCCTCGGGTGATGTCCACCTGCTGGCTTAGGCCCGCTCCCCGGGGGAATGGGCCTAAGCTGGCAGTCAGACATCCCTCTGGCAGCCCGGGAGTCCTCAGGGGATGTCCACTTGCTAGCAGGGAGCAGGCCTAAGCTGCATTCAGACATCCTTAGTGCTGCTGAGGAGTCGGGAGAGGCTCCCACCATCACCGCTGTGCTGGCATTCATTAGCCTGGCTTGTGGCTGAGCAGAGCTCCCCACTGTGGGAGCACACTGAACACCAGGGGGCATCTCCTGCATTGAGCGTCTGCCCTCTGGTGGTCAGTGTTTGTCATAGTGACCAGTCATTCCCAGTGGTTCTGATGTTAGGGTCAATTTGCATATTACCCTTTTATCATATAGGATGAATGTGCCTTGTGGAAATGGGGCTAATGAGTACATCCATAATAGAAGGGGTCCTTATGTGATAATCCACATTGGATAAACTTAGCATTGAATTCCAATCAACATGTTTCTTAACCATAGAAAGGTCTCAGTGGTTTATAAATAGAAATACCAAATTTGGATTAAAAATATCTTATTTAGCATCACTCAAGTCCTTGGTGGAGGGATACAATTATAAATTTGATTAAAAAGGTAAATGTTACTCAGCAAGGCACCTCTATTCTTTAAAACTGCAGTCATATGGTGTCATGAATAAACAAAAGTAGGGAGACTATTCTAGATTAAAAGAAACTATATTAAAAGACATAACAATTAAAAGTAACATGAATCTTGATTGGATTCTTCCTTTTATATAAACAGATATAAAATTAATATAAACTCATATAAAAACAAGTAGAAAAGGCATTTGGGGTACAATGGGAAAATATGAACAGGGACTTGATATTATCGGAAGCAGTCATGCTATTGTGATGTGTAGGAGAATGTCCTTGTTCTCAGGAGAGGGCTGCTGAAGTACTTAGGGTAACCTGACATGCAGCCTGCCAAATGGTGCGACAAAAAAATGTGTGTGCATGTTTGCATGTGCACACACACATAGCAAAAGGTTAACAACTACTGACTTTGCTTTTAATTGTTCTGGTCTTTAAACTTTTCTCTATATTCAAAATGTTTCTTAAGCCGAAACCGGTTTGGCTCAGTGGATAGAGCGTCGGCCTGCGGACTGAAGGGTCCCGGGTTCGATTCCGGTCAAGGGCATGTACCTGGGTTGCGGGCACATCCCCAGTGGGGGATGTGCAGGAGGCAGCTGATCGATGTCTCTCTCTCATCGATGTTTCTAACTCTCTATCTCTCTCCCTTCCTCTCTGTAAAAAATCAATAAAATATTAAAAAAAATGTTTCTTAATAAAAAGTTGAGGAGAGCCCTGACCAGTGTGGCTCAGTTGGTTGGACATTGTCTGCTTCCCTCAAAGGTTGCTGGTTCAATTCCCAAATGGGGTTTCAGGCTCGATGCCCTGTAGGGGGTGTGCAGGAGGCAGCCGATAGATGTTTCTCTCCCTCTCTCTAAAAGTCAATGAAATTAAAACAAAAACAAAAACACACCACACAACTAAATAAAATAAAATAAAATAAAGTTGAGGAGAACAACAGCCCTGACATTACCTCTGAATTTGGCATGGGTCTTAAATTCAATGACGAGTCGGCCATCCTCTCGAATATAGATTCTTAGTATCTGAAGCCTTGCAGAGAGCACGCTGTCTGTCTGGATTCCTAGGCAGGCAACCATACACAAAACATCCAAGTCAGGGTGTGGAGAAGACCTCCCAGACAGTAACTTACAGGGAAGTTTTCCCAGTGACACCTCTAAGGAGACATACACAGTTTTTGAATGTAACTTAAGGAAAAATTTATATATTCACATAAACATAGAATCTATTTAGAGACATTTTCCAATTAAATATCTCTAAACATCTGGACAGTTCATTCTACTTTGTTCTTTTCCACAGTTCCTGTAAGTGCCACTGGCCCAGATGCAGGGCCTCCAGCCCAGAGCTCAGAAAAAAACGGGTTCCTAAAACGTTTTACATCAGCTTTCCTCCAGGATGTGGTTACAACACATCTGCTTCACAGTATATTTTCTGTTCCCCACCGGGACACCTTTTAGGACTTACCAAAACCCTAAACAAAGTCTTGGTGCCTGTGCTCAGTACTCAGGCCAATGAAGAATGAAAGGTGAGCCTAGAGGGCCAGATACAATGGCATGGCACGAGTAAGCTGTAGCTTCAGCAAGTGCAGCTGCAGTCATGACACCAAGGAGTTCAGTTTGACCAAATATTAACGAATAACGAAAGGAAGGGGAGAAAATGTTAAAGAAAACAAACCAAAGCTCAAGGACTTAACTAACCCAAAGTATGAAAACTTCCTGAAGTTATTTTCCTATGAGAAATATAATGGAAATACATGATATGAGCTTAAATCATGTAACAGAAGAAAGGACTATACTTTCCATGACTAGAAATGAGGCCCATGTAAAGAAAGCTCCTCAGATCTGTCTGCCTCAGATCTAGTAAAATTACCACTGAGAAGGCCAGAGGGCGAATGAGAGCAGGAGAGGGAAGGGAAATGAATTGGGGGTAATTTTTGAAGTCTAGCACACTGAAAATGGGAAAAAGGCAAAAAATAACTGAGACCCACTGGAGTGAATGGAGGGGGGATCATGCAGTTTTAAGGGGCATTCATGTGGTAGCAGTGGGAGAAGGCGGGTGGGGGAGACATGAGTAAGGTGTGAGCTCCCAGCTGAGGTGCTGTCACCAAGGCAAGCCTGAGGTGAAGGTCATTTTAAAAATTCAGCATTGAAATCCCTGAAGTAACAGTAGGATTAAAGTCTTTTTTTTTTTTTTTTAACTTTTAAGAGTGCCACAAAAGAGCAAACAAACTCTAAGCCAGACAAATAAAGTGAGCTAAGTTGCTTTTGATATATTTTTCGATTTCCACGTATCTAATTTGAAGATTCCTCTTGCTCCTTAAATGTGAATCCCACCATTTTTTAGCTAAAAAGAGAATGAACATGATTATGCTCCAAAAGAACACACACTCCTTGGAGCCCCTAACGGGCAGTCCAGGACCCATCTGTCACTTGCCATCCTCTACTCTGGGCCCCTCGCTACCTGGGCCCAATGTCTCACCCCTGGAGGTCCTCCAGCATCAACATCAACATGGACGGACCTCCTTCTTTTTCAGGAACCACAGATCTACACTTCCCAGACTCCAGGCAGCCCTCCTTGGACTGGACATAGAACAACAGGATGAAGAATGCAGCGACTATTAAAAGTCAGTACTTATTTTTTCTTTGAATCTTGCTGGAGCATAAGGTAGGAACAGTGAAGGTGTCAATGGGTGTACCTGTTCTCCAGAGAACAGTGTCATAGAAGAAGGAAAACTCCATCTCGGTGTGGTGCTCCAAGGAGGCCCAGCCCCGGGGCGCCGTCACGTAGATGTAGGACACGTAGAGAGGCACGTGCACGGTCAGGAACGACTGTGCAGAGTCTCTCACCTGCCAAGCAAACGGAGTGGCACCAGGAGGTTATTCCTTCCCTGGGATAAAAGGGCGGACGGTCATCACATCTCAGCTCCACTCCCTCCATCAGTCACTCACTCAATCACTATTAATCAAGTGCCCACGATTGTGGGAGGTACCAGGCTAGGAGCTGGGCCCTCAAAGTGGAAAAGCTAAATGACCGCCCTTACAGAACCTACAGTCTAGTAAGGAAGATACGTCATAAATAAAGAGATGGAAATGGCCAGGGTGCTTCTTATGTAGGGTTATCTGGGAAGGCTTTTCTGAGGAGGTGACACTTGAACAAAAACTCTTAAAGAGCGAGAAGGAGCTTTGTTTCCCCTGTTCAATCACTGAAAGCCTCGGCTGAGACTTTAGTTTCACAGTTATTCCTAAAGGGCTGAACACAGACAGGATGTACTGTCACTACAAGCAGCCCCTCACTGACCGTGCTTTCCAGTGACCGTAGGAGAGCCTGAATTAACCCCGCTCGGGAAGATGCCCAGGTCTGGATCCCGGGGATGAATGTGTGGCTGACTTGGGTGTTTCAGTGAGCACTCGCAGCTCATTTATAGGAAACTACCGACGGCTCAGAGCTGCGTATGCGTGGACAATTTGCCATCTCATACAATGCTGTGTTGAAATAACTTTGAAAAGGCAGAACGTCGTACTTCCTAAGGGAATTCCTGTTTTCACTTTACTATGCAATGAACAAAAACTGGATGGAGAGATAACATGCGCAGAGGGCTTCACGTCGAGGCTAACTGTGTACATGTGTGTATGAGTGGGGAGTTGGTTTACTCATTTTAAAATGTTTTCTATTTTTCTTCATAAATATATTTTTCTAACAAAGAAATTTAGTCTAAAACAATTTTATTTTTTTCACTGGCCAAATACACTATATTTCTTTTTGG